GGCCGTATAATAGGAACAAATTGGGGGAAAAAACGATGTTTTTCGACTGACAATGTGAATGATGGGAAATGATTAGTGGAGATTGTAAACCGAGCTGTAAACACACACGTCTGCAGCCCCAAAAGAAGAGAAGGACCTGGAGAATTAAATCGACCGACCGGGACAATAAGATCTATTGATTTGTCTTAAATAGAAGTAAAGGGATCGATTTAGGACGTTCTCCTGGGAACAAGCCTGTTATGTAGTTCAATTGAATGTAACAGGACGTCAGTGACAGCCTCCAGCAAGCAAGCAGAGGATGGTGGGGTCCCGTCTTATCCAATATTTGTAATGATCAGTTATTAAATGCCTCCAAAAGCTAAACAAAAGCTAATTTTGACTCCAAGACACACTGGAGGGCCATTGAACTCTCCCTGTTTGCTATACACATTTTATTTATGTGTTTTTTATCAGGCGTTTTCACCATCAGCAACTATACCCACCAGTATACCACAGGTACGATCTCTTACGGGCGGAGCTCAAACCGTCTCACCCCCCCGGGAGGCAGCCATCCTTGTCACGGGAAGCTTTCAGGGGGGGGGGGGGGGGGGGTGGCGGGCCTCATGTGGTATCTGCTGTAAAGTGAGTGATTCTGCACGAACACCAAATACTCTTATCGGTCGCTGAAATCTTGACGGATTTATTACAAACGCGTTTGGTTTCTTACAAAAGCGTTATTAACGTGGCTATAATTCTGGATATATTTAACTTATTAATTATTAAATTTTTTTTTAAATTATTATCATTTACTTTCATGAAGTATGCAGTGTATAACTACAGCTCTTTGCAACGTTTATACACACACAAACCAGTTTAAAATCGGCTAGACAAATTGAGCAAGTTATGGTTTATTCTTATAATAGTTCCATGCACCATTAAACAATTGTTACGAGTGAGTGAGCTCGACTGTGGCAAGATGGCCCGCCGGGTGCGGACGTCGACCCCCATTGGCAGCAGTCCCGCCGGACGAGACATCTAGCCTTTATTATGTATATCTATGGTTCCACCTACCTCCCAGTGTCTGACTGAAAACTTCACACCTGGCCTCCATGTGCTACTTGGAAAGCACATGACGCACACAGAGAGAAAAGCAAGTCTACAGATCATCCTGGACATATAGCAGCAAAACAATCATTTTGAAACAACAACAACCACAGCAATGAGTGGGCTTCCTTTTGTATGGCTATTTCATAAAAACACAAAAGCAGTACTTGAAAAACAATAGCTTGTGTTTGTGGTTGAGTGTTTGTGGCCAAAACACTTTTCACTTGACAAAAGCACTAACACCCACACAGCCGCGAACTAAACTCTCATCCCGCTCTTGATCCGCTCTGCAAACCGGGCGCTGCAATTTAAAGTGCCGCTTCACGGCCTCTTATGTTGTCACACATAATTCATACACACGCACATGGGCCTCCCTGTCTCACTGAGTCTCGTGCTAAAACCGAAACTCTTCTTTTATTTTAATACTCCTCTGTGATTCTAACAAGAGGGCTTCTATCTGACGGATATATAGCTTGTAGCCATGCAGAAGCTTTTCTGGGGTTGTAATGAAATGCAGCATTCCACCGCATTAAAAACACACTGTGGCCTTTATTCTTTTCTGTCAGAATAAACTTTCTTTTATTTAGTTTTTGCATCAATATGGTTAGTATGAAAATGAGTGTAGTTCTGTGGTTCACTGGAATGAAGCAAAGAAGGATGGTTTTGAAAGGAAAATAATGCTGTTACATGCTAGAATTTTAGGGTGACATACTTAATTCAAAGCATTCATTTTCACACTACATTTCCCAGGTATCAGCTGTCACTCAATGTGTGCAGTACTGCCATGCTCACCTGTTTGAGACGCTGTAGGTGCCGCTCTTTTCTTTGTGCTAGTTATTGCAGCTCATGTTAAAGGAACAGTTCAACATTTTGAGAAATTCACTTTCACCACTCTCATGTCTGTAAAATAAATATGTAGCTGAAGCCAGTAGCCAGTTAGCTTAGCATAAAGACCAGAAACAGGGATAGCCAACTTATAACGTAGCCTTATAATCACATGTAAAACAGCAAATTGTCATTTTAAATTTTGTTTTTTGAACTGATTAAACAAACAAGATGTAGGATTGTAATTAATGAACTCAAGATTTTTTTACTTTTTTGGACAGAACCAGGTTAGCTGTTTCTCCTTGTTTACAGTCTTTATGCTAAGCTAACTGTCTGCCGGCTCCAGCTTCATAATGATTGAGTGCTATCCCTCTCTTATTAACTGTCTGGAAGAAAGCGAATAAGAAAATGTTGCAAAATGTTAAAAGATTCCTTTAATTGCCAAATTGTTCTTCTATTTACATACCCCGAAGAAGTGAGAGAGCAAAACATGTAGATCTAATAACATTTGAAAAAGCTGTTTGCTATTATTGTGAAATTGTTGTGAAATGTACAACAGTAATAGCATTTCCTGTTTGTTGGCACTGATGTGCTGCATTTGTTTCAGATCAAACTACACTAACCTCTTCTTTCTGGATGGATAAACACCTCTGAAGTCCATCACTTACCTCTGCACACACACACACATTGTTAACACACACTCACCAGTCCTGAAGCAAAGAACACGGCCAGCAGTGCGAGGCAGGTTCCCATGACGATCAGCAGCAGGAACACGATCAGCGGATGCTGCTGGCTCATTCTGTAGTAGGACTCGTACAGCCAGTCCTGGGGCTTCTCGTTCTCCACACACACCTCACCCTGGAACCCCGGGCACCCTTCTCCCAGGCTCTCGGGCCCCTCGGCAGCCTCACCGCCATCGTTCTTCTCCAGCAGGTAGCGTCCTCGGGTCCACAGAGCCTCCTGCCACATGGGTAGCTGCCTCTGGAAGGACGGTCCTGCTTTCTGACTGACCAAAACACGTGCTGTACACAAAAGTGAACAGTGTGAGGGATGCTCTCTCTCCCCCTTCCTCCTCACCCTCAAAGGTCCACCTCCTCCTCCTCCTCTTTGTTTAAAAAAGTTTGGTCAGCTGTGTGGGATGGTTGGACAGCTGAGTGAGAGAGTGCCAACTTTTCAGCTCCTCCAGGTTCCCTTGCATCCTCTACCGCTCCCTCAGCTCGAGGCGACAAACTGAGTCAGGACGGTGTGAAAACCGATCTTCCTTCTTCTCCTCCACCTTCTTCTCTCCCTCACAGTGAAGGTGGTCGGGCACCGAGGAGGAGATGATGAGACTTCACTTTCCTTCCTCTTGCTTCTCCTTCTTGTTTGCTCTTTATGTTTGGTCAGGCAGCCGCAGCTTACCGCTCTGCACTGTGGCTGCAGCGAGGCAACATGTTACTCTGCTGAGGTGCAGATGAGGACTGAGGGAGAGAAAGAGAGAGAGAATGTGTATAACTGGGAGGGAGGAAAGAGAGCGAGAGGAAAGAGGGTGTGTACCAATGTGTGTGGTGGGGAGAGCTAGTGGGTAAGGTTGGCCGTGTGTGTTGGTGTGTGTAGTCGTGTGCGTGTACCTATCAGAGAGTGTGTAAATGTGGAGAATGGTGATGGTGTGAGATTAGCTAATGTGGAGGAGAACTGGTAAATGAGGTGCAAGACGTGTGTGTGTTTGTTTGCAAGGTACAGAAAAAAGAAGATGCTTAGAAATTTACATAAGTGTGAAGTTGGTGGAAGAGAAAAGAGGAAGAAGAAGAACTGTGTGTTTGTCAGCATGATTGTGTGTGTGTGTGTGTGTGTGTGTGTGTGTGTGTGTGTAAAAATGCAGAGTGAGTGAG